AAGACAATTGTGAAAAGATTAAATGACAGCATTACCAGGATTTGCAGGTTTTGTCACCACTGGAAACTTAGAATTAATGTCCCGAAAACTAAGGCCATATTTTTCACAAAACAACGTCCAATATTCAAGGAAACCGTTTCCATTCACTGACACTAAATAGAATGGCGTGAGGGGGTAAAGTACTTGGGTTTAACTCTGGACCGAAAACTTAACTTCTCTCGTCATATAAACAATATAGTAACGAAAGGAAAAATAGCTATAAAAGCGTTATTTCCGCTGATGGCCCGAGAGAGTGGAATGAGCTTTGAAAATAAACTAATTATATATAAAGTAGCTATTAAACCTTTGCTGCTGTATGCTTGCCCAGCATGGAGGTACACGTGCGAATCGAACATCAAAAAACTGCAAGTGGTCCAAAATAAATTTCTAAGGTTTATAACCTCATTACCTCGATACACCAGAATTGGCCTCCTCCATGGGAAAGCGGGAGTGAAGTACATTAATTCCGAATTAGAACGTCTGTCCAGGAATTTTTTTATGGGTGTCTCCTCCAGCAAGAACGCTACTTGTAGGGATGTAGGAGTGTATGATGTGAACTTTCCATGGAAACATAGAAGGATTAGGCACAATACACAAATTTAGGATCTGTGATATATTTATTGTTTCCTCTAGAGCTGTGATACTATAAAACAATTTGTGATAATTCAATTACCCGTGTAGCATTGTTCTTGTTATTCTCATTTATTTATTTATAATTTGGTTAACACATTTTTGTTAATTCATTTGTTAATTGTTATCCTATTTGATACCTAGTGGGTTTTTTAAGAAGATATTTCACACTATTTTCTTGTTTGATTAATTCAAAATAATAACATATTAGGACTAGGTGCGTTGATAGGGAAAAGTTTTGAAATAGGACGTAAAAGTGCCCCGCCACTTCCCCTGCTTAATGAATGTTATGTAACACAATGTATAAGTATTTTTTTAATAAATGTTTATTTATTCATTCATTCATTACTAGGACTGACTATCACCCATTCAACCAAAATCCTCCAAAATGCAGGTAATATGATAAACGAATGGACAAAAAAATGGAAAATCAACCTAAATCAGCATAAATTTGTTCATCTAATATTTACATACAAAAAAGTGGACCATGTTCTTTCGCTCACAATCGATTGAACTACTACAACATACAGCTAAATATCTGGGAATGACTTTAGATGCGCAGCGGAGATGGAAAGAACACGTAAGGAAAAAAATTCATTAAATTCACTAATTTCATGGTCCGCTTGAGCAATTAATACTTTACAATTAATTAAGGTTTTTTGTTGAGATGAAAATAAGTTAATGGCACGAGGGAAAACTCATATGGTGGGGTTGAGATGGGGAGTTGATATCCGAGTGGATCGAGGTCACGATAGCTCAGGTGGTAGAGCAGCGGCGTATCTAGCCGAAGGTCGTGGGTTCGAATCCCTCTCGTGCCATTAACTTTTTTTTCATCTCAACAAAAAACCTTAATTAATTGTAAAGTATTAATTGGTCAAGCGGACCACGAAATTAGTGAATTATTCTATAATGTTATTGTAAAATTAATATCTAATAAGGCCAGTTTTAATAAATAAATTTAATTCATTAAAAAAAATTATATGAAAATATATCGGAGAAGGCAAACTTTTTCTTTTAAACGATATGTTTTTTCAACCGAAGTTTTTATAAAAAATTTCTTCTTAAATGAACTAATACTGCTTCAAAACTTAATATCCTCATTTTTATTAGAATTAAAAATGTATTTATTTATTTTAAAATCACACTGGTCAAAATATATACTAATTTCAAAACTTTCCCAAAATAAACTGCTTCTAGAAAGTATTTTGATTCATATAAATGTGTATGCTTTTATTAATATTATGCCATTACTTAAGAATGTTTTTAATAAATTCAACGTTGTTGGGTGTTTCATCAGTATCCTCTTATTGACAATTGGGTCGAATTGGTTAAAATTAACACCAGGACGATATTGACATTAGCATGAATTAACATACACTAACTGTCCAACAGTCGGCCAATTTCCTGATATCCGTTGGTTAAACATCATCGTTCCGATCGATTTTGATAAGCTGAACATTGGCCCGAGACTAAAATTGTTCTGTCCGAGAATTCATGTGGGCTGGGAAAAGTGCTGATTGAAAGGGCAACGAAGGCATCGGAGTATTGTTTCCTTGTATCACAATCATCCGAATCGCGGAGGGTTTAATTCAATCGGGAATTTCATAGAATTCTATTTTTGTTGCAATAAAAACATCCATATTAGTCAATATCTTCTGTAAGAAGTATTGTTGAGTTGACATCTAGCTTAAACATGAGGTCATATTAAGACGTATTAAGACTCACATTCTCACTCAAGCTGAAATACATACTTTCCTATGTTCATGTTGAACGATGGTTACGCAATATTACAGTAACACTTCATCTAGAAACCATAAATTTAATCAAGTATTTTACTTATTCACGCTCATTAATACCATCGACCATTCAATAATTTTTTAATTATTATTTTATTTGTACCCTATACATATCAGTACATACTACAAATGTGACCTTAATGGTTTTTTTTCACAAGGGCGCATCATTAACACTAAAGTCAGCGCTGCACGCGAATGACATTTCCCACGAATGTAATACTGGCATTCATTATGAAGGAGTAAGGAACAAGGAGTTCTCTAGTACAAATAAGGTTAGGATGGATCGAGAGGTTGCTCAAAAACTACTGATATCGAGAAGGGATCAGTTCGTTGACAAAACAATTGGTGATGCCGTTGTGAATAAAGAGGTTATTGACGTAGTAAGAAGGTTTGACGTATTGTCTGAGAACTTTTGATATGAAGAATTGGGTGCGCAGGTTATTGGCTGACTTGGCACAACCCCGCAGTTCCACTTCGTATGTCCAAAGTAGTCATAGTAAAATATCTTATAGGTTTTTAGATAAAAAAGTCAATGGCACGAGCGGGATTCGAACCCACGACTTTCGGCTAGATACGCCGCTACTCTACCACCTGAGCTATCTTGACTTCGATCCACTCGGACTCTAACTTCCCATCTCCACCCCACCTTCTGAATTTTCCCCCCTTTTTGTCATTTTTCAAATGTCGTATAATCTATTTGATTCTCGGCGACAAATGAAATGGCCACGGAGAGCTTTAGTGAAGATTTACTTCATTTAACTTATTAAATTCACTAGTTTTCGTGGCCCGCTTGACCAATTAATATATTTCAATTAATTAAGGTTTTTTAGTTGAGATAAAAAAGTCACTGTCACGAGCGGGATTCGAACCCACGATCTTCGGCTAGATACGCTACTCTACCACTTGAGCTATCGTGACCTCGATCCACTCGGACACTAACTTCCCATCTCAACCCCACCTTTTGAATTTTCCCTCATTTTTGCCATTTTTCTCGCTCGTGACACTGACTTTGTTATCTCAACTTAAAAAAAACCTTAATTAATTGATTGATGTAAACGTTTTCGAACTCTAATAATTTTACATAATTGTTTTCTCTCCTTAGTATTTTTACATCCTCAAAATTATATCATGTCCTGTATTTGTGATATGTTGACTTAAACATGTGTTGCCTTTTTTTACATCTTGTTTCTGTAGGTTTAGTCTTTTAGGTAAAAATTGTATTCTTTTTCCTATGTAGATCTTTTCACTGGTGCATTTTAACTTATAAATTATTTTTCTGTGTTTTTAATTTTTCCTATAGCATGTTTTATGGGAGGTATTTTATGAATTGCATTAATGAATTGTATTCCTTTTCACTAATGTATGAATAAATTGTAAAATCATTAAACATTTCTTATTTTTTGAAAAATTTTCTTTTCTTTTACAATTTTTTTTTACACAGGGTACATTTTTATTCATAAACTGTCCTCTTCGTTTTCCAGCAGTCTTTGGTTAGCTCAACGTATTCTTGGATGTTTAAGGTAACTTGAATAGGATTCAATTTTTCAGGCAAAATTGCTTTACATGGTGATTATGGTAAAGTTAGGCCAGCAGTACAAATGATATAAAGGATGCCACCAAGAATGCACCCTTGTGCCACGCCGGCTTGTCAGTGTCTGACTACCGAGAACTCTTTGCAGCAGCTCACTCTAAATCGTCGTTTAGATAATAAAATAGTAATAAGTGGGCATGAAAACCTTTTATAGCAAACCCAAATGCCTGCTACTATCATAAGACTGTACTACATTTAGAAATGCTTTATTTTCTGAAGCAGAGGATAGAATGTGGACAAATCTGACACCTTGTTAGATTAGAATGATGAGGACGGACGCAGGATTAGGATCTGATAGTGTCTCTAATAGGCCTGGTCTCCCCTGACCGTTAAGATATTTATATATAGCAGAAGCATTACATGCACGATTTTCATCCTAAGATGAGTGAGGTTCATACCTAAGCGAAGCAGCCAATCACAATGTCCTTACTCTTTGAATTTGCCATCTTTACCATTCTCAATACCGTACGACACTGAAGGAAGAGACAAGCAGGCTTTGTCTCTTGATATACGCACATTACGTCATAGGTCGCGATCTTACAGGTGTGAACTAGTTTTGTCCTTCCTTCACATTTTTTATAGGCATGGATTTGCATATCTTACAAGACAATTATCGTATATCGCTAACGACCTAAAAATGTGTATCTTATCGCTTTGGTGTGAGACCTGTGTTTGGGAGGTTTATAGCTTTAGGAGTGAGAATAATGACGGATTATTTCCATAAAATAAGAACGTGAGTGGTCCGTATTATGGCATTATACTTTGTGGTTAAGAAAACGATGGCTTTTTGGTGCCATAAATTGAACAACAGGACAGTGTGTATTCTTAAGAATGAAACTATTTCCTTCTATATTATTGTCACAACTGTAAGGCTTAACCTTCTAATTAGATAATTGACGATAATTATAATGAGCAATTACAAATTGGACATGTTTCTGTTTTAGGTTGTCATGGAGAGAAAAGAGGTCGTAGTCGGTGCGGCCCTAGTGACTGGAGCGCTGCTTTTGCTGATTGCGGCTGGATTCGCTGTTTATTTCTGCTGCAGACGACGGCGAAAAACGTCTACATCGGCGGACCCGGAGTCGGACCAGCAGCCGACCACGTCACGGTCGCTCAATGGGTTCCTTTCGCTTAAAACGCCACTTATCTCGACCAAGACACTGGGGTAAGTCTTTTGCACGAATTACTATCTCAATTGTTTTTCAAGATTTTAAATCGAACCGTAATTGAAGAGTATATATTCATTATACTATGTTTTATTGAAATTCTGCGTAGGTGAATACTTGGTGATTGAAATTTCACTTACTTTTAAACTTAATTTATGTCATTAACCTTGAATCGCTTATCAGAATACTTAATACGAGTTGCACATCCGTTTGGAATTTACACCCCGGTGAAACAAGACCTATAGCCTTTTCCTCGAAGGTAGGCGAGAAAATATGCGGAGGATGTTAACACGGAATTTTTCAGCGCTAGGAACAGAATGGGGCTCGAGAAGCTTTGAATATGCAAATCTAAACTCATCAACCTCTGTAAACATTCTAAAATGGTGTGTAAATATTTCTTGTGAATTCCGTGATGTGGCGTTAGAACGGCGCCGAGGGAGGGAAGTGGGCTTTGAGCCCGGACAAAAGTATAACACGATTACTGAGCACCTGTCCGTTTTCCGTCCCGCATCCAATTCCGTTTCCGTCCTTGAAGATAGATCAATTGACAAAATGGGTGAATTTTTAACGAAATTGCTTTTTAAATAGTACATGTTACAGACACATCAATTCCACCGTTAACAATTTAACCCTTTACCGGGGAGCGTTACGTAAATGGACATGGATGGATAGTTGCGTGGAGTCTCATAAACGCCATGAGTACTTTTATGTTTTTATTTTTTTCAAGCAGACCATTCTAAAGCTTTCCAAAAACAAAGGTTAGGTTATCACATAAGCACTCTATCTTTTCTAATCTTTCCCAACTTCCTAAAAAAGCCATTATTGTCATAACCTCCCTAATGAACGCCGTTCTACGCACAACCCATTTTCCCACCATTTGGAAATACTCTTCCATCCCTGATGTTCCCAACAACTAAGAAACCTAATCACCTTCATAATTCCTACCGACCAATCAGTCCTGGAATCCTATTGATCTGCTTGTTTTGAATATTTAAGGCATACACTATTTTTATAGTTTTGGCAATTAATTATTCTTTTTATATAAGGTCTTAGTTGAAATGAAAAAGTTAGTGCCACGAGCGGGATTCGAACTCACGTCCTTCGGCTCAATACGCCGCTGCTCTAACCACTTGAGCTATCGTGACTTCGATCTACTCCACGTTCGTTGGTTCGAATCCCGCTCGTGACACTAGCTTTTTCATCTCAACCAAACGTTACATAAAAAGAATAATTAATTGAAATTTTTATTGTCGTCAATTAGATCACTAAATATAAATGGATTAATATAATAAGTAAAGAAGTAATCACATCACTAACAACTCCCCGTGGATATTTTCATATGTCGCTAAGAATCTAATCGTGATTACACGACATTTTAAAAATGGCAAGAAGAGGTAAAAAGCGAAAGTAGATTGAGATGGGAGTTGGTGTCCAAGTAGATCGAAGTCACGATAGTTCAAGTGGTTATAGACCATATTGAGCCGAAGGTCGTGGGTTCGAATCCCGCTACTCACATTCGTTTTTTCATCTCAACCAAACGTTATATAAAACGAATAATTAATTGAAATAATTAATATGGTCAATAAAAACACTAAACATGAATGGATTTTTGGCAATAATACTGGGTGTACCCATTTTTAGATCGTTCACAAGAGAAACACTTATTTTCCATGCTAGTCGATAGGTTCTTGGAGTGTTGTAGAAATGTGTTTCAGGTTCGACATCCAATTGTCCAACGATTTTTTGTCTTGGATTTGTTAGTTTTTATCTTGCTTTCAACTATAGTTCAGTCAGTCATGGCGCTAAGTCCTTGAGAAACCTAAAATGGTTCATTTGAGCTACACTATTGCTAGTGACGTGCGATGCCAATCGATATGAGTAAAACATCGAGTAGTTCCTTTCGATACCGAAATACTTGTGGTGAATACATATACAAGTACTATATCGAGTACTTTTTGTAGTATCGGCAATAATAATCAAATAGATTTTCCATCGAGTGTTCAAGTAATATTGAATTGTTTTTTCCGTTTGAAACTTTCTTTTCACCAAACTGGGAGTTGATTAGTTACTGTTAGGGCGTCTACAAGCGGCATGTGTTAACAAGGTTAATCGAGATTTCAAATTGTTGGTCGGTAACTCTGCTGATAAATCTGGTAGCTCATAATTCTTTCCCGCTTCTCACCTCTCACTTTATAACCACATTCAAATTGGAGCGCGAGTGCACGAGAGTTCGCTTGATGCGCGGCGGCTCCGGCAGACGAGGAACGCTTGGCGACGAGAGAGATGGCTTGTCTTTTTTTAGTTGCGCTGTCGTTATTTTTCCCCGGGGACGACAAGTGGACGTTTTCTGGATTCAGCAGCCTTTTTTACGGAGGGAAGAGATCTTTCTGGACGTCGGACTGTACAACCGGCTTCATACGAGTTCGACAACTATTTGCCTTGGACTTTCAACGAGCTGCAGGGTAATCACTTGTCCAGAGAACATTTTATTTTGGTTTGTTCACTTTTATCAATTGATATTCTTTATTATTGCCGGCACAATGTTTTTTTTTCTTTCTTAATTTTTTATAAAAAGGCCTTAATCAGTATTGTTCATTTTTAAATATAGAAAAGATACTTATTTTGTATTATTTTATTTTAATTAAAAAAAAGGGAATTTATTCTGTTTTGTTCATTTTTATTTTTTCAAAAAATAGAAAAAAAAGGTGTTCATTTGTATTTAATTGCTGTGGTTATTTTTATTTCATCTCAAAAGACCTGAAACAACTGTCCTGATCTCACCACGACAATTTTTATAAGATCTTTTATTTTATTTTTTTAGTTTTAATTTTATTTTAAATATATATTGTATTTTATAAAATGTAGTAATTTTTTATAAAATGTTTTTGTCTCCAAGTCCTAAAACAAATTAATTAAGGTTTTTAGTTGAGATAAAAAAGTCAATGTCACGAGCGGGATTTGAACCCATGATCTTCGGCTTGATACGCCGCTGCTCTACCACTTGAGCTATCGTGACCTAGATCCAGTCGGACACCAACCTCCCATCTCAACCACACCTTTTGAATTTTCCCTCTTTTTTGCCATTTTTCAAATTTTTCAGATCGTGGGTTCGAATCCCGCTCGTGCCATTGACTTTTTTACCTCAACTGAAAACCTTAATTAATTGTAAGATATTAATTGGTCAAGCGGACCACGAAACTAGTGAATTTAATTAGTCCTAAAAAGTGTTCGCCTTCCTTCTCCTAGGTAGATACATAATAATGTCTCCTACCAAAAGGAAGGTTATTTTACTAAGAAAACTGAAAACAAAACACCCGTTGATCAATTTTCTCAAAACTCGATAACGATAAAATTGAAATATGTATCAGTTTTGTCGAAATAGGTTGACAGCTTTTTCCTGTTCTTACCTACTTACCCACTGTATAAAAAAATACTTAAAAATATGAAAAAACTGCAAATATTGGTTCATGTCAATGTTCAAGTCGATAGTGAGTAAGTTGAACATTTATGAATAAGCGACAAAGTATTCATATGAGCGAGTACTTGTTAGTATCGAATAATTTCCGTCGATAATTGAGTATTATCGAATTTTTTTTCAAAACCAGTATCGAGCACTGTACAGAAATGTTCAACAAGGCATAGAACACAAACATTGACCATCTATTTGTTTTCCTGGTTACGTTATGAGTACTGCAGAGTCGGTCCATCGTATCTACTTCCGATTTTGCGCCATTAAAAAATTTATTTATTTTTGGCTTGTTCTTACGTTCAGCACTTTTAGTTGCATCTTGATGCATTGTTGGCCTGGCGATGTTAATATGTAAAAAGCTGTCGGTGTAGTAAAACGGCTTTCACTCGGCATTTGAAATTCAGGAAGAAATTTCACCATAAATACCTGGTTTAAGTCCATGGAAGTAGCAGAATTATAATACAAGATGACCTTTTTTTGATGGTTCGGTTGAATTTCTCTTGAACCGAAGACGCTATCAAATAAAACAAAAAATACGTGGTTAATATTTTTTAGTCCAGTTTCAAATTTTTGCTTGGTTGTCCATCATAATATATTAAAAATCATAGAACCGAATCTAGATTCAAACAGCCAGTACTTTCTAAAGAGCCTCGAGTGGCACAAGACAATGTTAATCTCCATTTTTAGAAAAGAGGAACGTAATACAAAATCCGTTGAAAATAAAAATTCTATACAAAGCTCATATAAGGTTTAATGTATCACATAATCAGTATTCATTTCTAAGAATGAGTGTCTTTTGATGAATGATTTTTTTTGGTTCTCACTACATACCAAGAAAGGCCATAACTTCGGTTTTGCCCGGCGAGTTTTTTAAGTACCTGATTGAGAGTTAAAAACTCGAGTTCTTTCCTCTTGTTTTTTTTTTTTTTTTTTTTGTAACGAAAGTTATCCCCTGTTTATTGTCAAATTACTCATCCAGTCGCCCGGTAAAGTAGGAAAATCGAACGTTTGACGTCACATGGCCTATGCGCGTCTCGTCAACTTCCGATAAACGGGGGCATAAAAGATAAGCCGTCTCAATTATCGTCCCGAAGTTCTTGCTTTGTATTCGAAAAGAGAGTAATTCGATATTTATCTAGAGAAGATATCGGTCTGGTTTTAACTCCCGTCTTTTGTTAGAATTTAATCCTGCACAAGGGAGTACACAAGTTTGTTAAAAACAGAATAAATACAAATTTCTGAACAACACAGTCTACAATTGTTTTCTACAATAACTGACTAAAGTAGTAATTAATTACTGAGTGCTGATTTATATAAATTCAAATCTGCTCATGTGTGTAAAAACGTGTACAGAGTTGGCCAATAACTTCTCGCAGCTCGTCGGCAATTCCAAATTTAGTAATTTACACTAAAGTACCGGCAGGTCTGGAGAATAACCCACCCCGGGTGTTGGCACCCCAGGGTCAGACTTCGTTTTTATCCTTCCAGCCGCCGAGGTTGGGCTCCAACAGCGTCATTTTAGCCTCCGATGCAATCAGTTCTTTCTTATTTACATACCATTCGGTTATGGTCATGTAGCACTCGACATTCTGCCATAACCTTCTATCGGTTGTTAC